GTACACAAATGTCTATTATCTTATTTATTGTTGCAAAAAAACGTTGTAGAAACACTTTTGGTTTTTTTGGCTTTATAATTTTTTGATTCCATTGTCCTTAATGTCATATATGCTAAAAATTCTTCAGAGTCTAGTGACTAAAGGCAATTGCTAAGATGGAAGAATATGCTACCTTCTTGACATTTGGACTTTAATGGCCTATCCATCATTTTTCTACTTGAAAATGGATGCCAAATACAATTAATAACAGAAAGATCCGTCAATCCAAACGAAAAAAAAAACCTAAATTCATTTACTCCAATTTTAACGTCCTAGGAAGTTCTTAACCTTAATCCTTTATTTTTCATAACATTTTACAGCCATAAATTCTTTAATGTGTATTATCTCACTTTAGCCTATATCTAACGGCTCCTTAATTCATGGGAAGCCTAATGAATCTAAAGTATTGAAAACGATAAAAACAACTTTTTCGACTGTACACATTATTGTTGTCTTTACAAAAGCTCAAAATGTATACTTTAGAAGGTAAAGTTGTGCAAAAATAGTTTTCTACCATTTGATCATCTGGAGTACAAATGTAAGAGTAAATTTCTATTGATGCAGATGCACATGTGGGGTCATGGTTCTGAATTTAGAAAAGGTCCAGAGTCCCTAAGAGGGGCACAACCAGCAGCGATGCTTAGGCTTCCTTGCTATTGCTGTGCACAAGGCTGCAAAAACAACATCAATCATCCTCGAGCAAAGCCATTGAAAGACTTCAGAACCCTTCAAACTCACTACAAGAGAAAGCATGGAGCAAAGCCATTCAACTGTAGAAAATGTGGCAAAAGTTTTGCAGTCAAAGGAGATTGGAGGACACATGAGAAGAATTGTGGGAAATTATGGTATTGCACCTGTGGCTCTGATTTTAAACACAAAAGATCATTAAAGGATCATATAAGATCCTTCGGAAACGGTCATTCTCCACACCCTTCTCTTGAAGGCTTTGAAGATGAAAAGGAATGCATCACTGGTGGCTCTGAAGATGAAAATGCTCAGTATTAACCATACCATGAAGGCTTTTTTTTTTTTTTGAAAAAAAAAAATCGTTTTTCAACATTTCGAAATTCTCAAGAAGAAGAAGGGGAAAAAAAAAAGATGAAAGTCGGGGACCCTCTATATAGTATTTCTTTGAGGGTTTTCTCTCTTCACTCTCTCCCAACAGGCATTTGCTCAATAACAAAAAATTCTCGATTGACTGCCATTGGAGGAAGCATATAGGGGGCGGTTTGTTATGGAGCACTTGACCAATTTCTATGGGGTGAGTAGTGTTTATGAATGTTTTTATGCACGGTTTGATATCCGGGTTTGCATAATAAGGTGATTGCTTTGAAGTGGTGAAGCAGATGAATTTTCTTCTTTTGTTCACGATGATCAAGGTACAGTAGTAATTGAGGGATGGAGGAAATTTGTCAGCTTCATTGCTAATTTGTAATCCCATCATGTGAATTTTTATCATTTTCTTTCAAGACATTTGGACTGTTTGTTGGTGATTGCCTTGAAGTGGTGAAGCAGATGAATTTTCTCTTCTTTTGTATTTGATGATCAAGATTCTGTACTAGTGAGGCATGGAGAAAATTTGTCAGCTTCATTGCTAAATTGTAATCCCAATGCTTTTCCATCGTTCTATTATGCATGTAAGCCATTGTGGGTACTGTTCTTGATGGAAAGCTACCAGCTTCATGGCTACCTTGTAATTTTCAATATCTGGATTTGCGTAGTAGTACCATGATGTGCTATTATTATCCACTTTTTTCCCACAACCATGCATTGTCTCGATAACACTCAAAATATACGGTATAATAAATAAACTTGGTGTACATTTGTTGAAAGAAGTAACTCACATAGCACCATATACATATATACATTGTGATTATGAGAATTATATATACTTGTAAAACTCAAAATAGTACCAAACTTGTATAATTAATTTTGGAGAAACATTTCAACTCCCTGAAATAGTTTCTTATGACAATGCTATTAAACACGGGGCGCATATATTTAAATATCAATAGGTTTGGGAGAGATAATAATCCTGAATTAGTAGTAACTGTTATCAGTACTATAGTAGCTAGATTCTTGATTGGGTATGGATTACAAGTAACACGCTGTGGTGATACTGATTATAACTCAAACAGCATTAGGACTAATTAATAACCAGACAAGTTACTATGATAATTGTACAAAGTTCTAACTTGGATTGTTGGTAGAATCATAGAACTGGGCTACCTCCTGGCATACAAATACAAGTCAGCCACCAGGAAATCCTAAGGCGTGTAATATGATTAGGGAACAGTCCTGCCCCATGTTATAAGCACCATTAATAATTCTAAGCAATGAAGGTAGAACATAAAGTTTACATCACTTTTTTACCGAAAAATGAGACAAATACTATAGCCAATTGGCAAGTCAAGCCGGCATCAACGCCACTACTTTTCTTCCTCTCCTCCTTCTTTTCCCTTCTCCACAATTTCTTTATTCACTGCTCCGGTTTGTAAGTTGGAGAAGTTATTATGAGAAAAAAGTTAGTCCAACTTGGAGGCACAACACGTAAATGGAAAAAAAAAACAAAGAAAAAGGTAAACGACATCTTTACAAGGGAATTATTATTACTTTAAAAGATTAACTTTTCCGTGAATTCTTTGGTCCTTGCCTGGACTACTTTGATTGTATAAAACGTGTTAGATAAATGCAAGATTGCGGAAAAAGGCAGCAGGAGTTGATTTTAGGTCAATAATTTAGGGAAAATCTTTGAAGAATTTTGGTGTTTAATAGAAAAAAATGTGTCATCCCCATAAGCTTCTGAGTTGAATACACGAATGTATGTACTTTGTTTATGGGGTAGGCTTGACTTAGATGAAATCAAAGGTGTGCAGTGAAAATGGAAAAAGTCTGATTGCACTTTGAAGATGAGGGTCAAGGGGGGATGGGGATCCCCCCCACTATGCTTTGTCGAGTGTGGAAAGAGGGGGGGACTCACCTTCTCCAAGCTTCTTATATGCATACAAGATAATGTGTTCATACAAGGAGGAGCAAACATATATCAGCAATAGGACTAGTCCTAGGAGTCATACCTTTTTTAGTTGATTTTTGAATTACTGCAGAAGAGTTTTATCTTTTGATCGAAAAGAACAATTTTAAATGGTTCATTTTTTTAAAAAAAAAAAAGAAAGAAAGAAAAAAGAAGGAACTTCCTAGACAGGATTTTATTATTTTAGGGTTAATTGAAAAACTTTATTCCAGAACTTCAAATCATGTTAGTAGAGTTCTGTGTGTTTATCAAACCATCCGTATTAATTTGAAATTCAATAAAAAGATAAAGGATGTTGTTATTTCCCTTTTTTTTGAGATAAAACGCTTCAGTTCTAATAATAGTTCCAAATTTCTATAGTTTTGAAGGCAATAGTAGAAGATACATATACCTACTATCTTTCAGGCTTCTTCACAGGGGCATATATAGACATTGCAAAATTGTTATCCCAGCTTGAAAAAGCTCAGAAAAGTTCTGCTTTAATCCACCATGAAGGTTTAGTTTGGCATTGTGTTTAATGGAGAGGGATTAGAGCTTAAAAAAAAACCCTATTTTCTAAAACATGCAAACTCCCACCAGTTTAGACCTGAATTTTGGAGCATTAACAGAAAATGATAATAACTTTCCATTTGTGGAAAGCCTTTAGGGTTATAATACGTCTAACATAGGGCTAAAAAAAATGGTCGAATAAATTGTTATGAACTAATAATGCACAAGTATTTTCTTTTAATTTTTCATTCGTCTATAAAATGTCCGTGCCTGACTTTCTTTTTTTTTTTTTTTGGTAAGTGACTGATTTTATTAACACATAATCAAATAGTAACATGAAAAAACTTGTATGGATCAAGTCTACATAGCTTGAAATCATTCATCTCAACAATCACTTCTTACCCGGTTGCTGCCCATAATTTGGGTCAGAAGGCTTTGCTCTCAAACTAGTCAAGGGCTTATAGCCCATATCCTCTTGCCTTTTTTCTTCTTTCTTTTTTTTTTTTTTTTTTGGTGTTTTTGTAGAGGAAACTTCTGTTACTTCTAAGTCTGATGTCTAAAGCGCACCCACAAAAAAAAAATTTGTATCTAATAATTGTGCCCCTAATACTTCCATCATTACGTACTCCAGCGTCAAGATCTATGTTATTCTATCGGAAGAGGGCAGGAACGGTTGCTTCCGTTCTTAGCAGTTTACGGTCAAGATTTGGCCAAAAAAACTGTAAGGTTCAAATTTCATCTTGTACCTCATTTTTAATAACATGTGTAAGATTCACAAAATTTTGTTATAGAATTACATATTATTGAAAGTAAATTATACAGTGGTGCAAACAGAGTTACGCCGTATGTAAAATGCACGTGACCTTCAGGAACGTTACTGCCCCGAGTCCCTATTCTATCTGGTGGACACGATAGGTTTTTTCAGCAACTTCAGAAGCTGCCAAGTGTCAAAAGAATTGCTACTACAATAAACAAACTAGCTTGCCATCCTTTGTCTGCACTCTTGCATGCAAATTACAAACCTTAGTCCCAATCCCAAGTCCTCCTGCATGCATTATCCTGTTTTTATATCTAGTAACATAAATTAAGCATTACCAAGATTAAACCAACATCCCAGGACAATTTAAGATAGACATCGAATTACACAAACCTTAGCCCTGCATTTTTATCTAGTAGCATTAATTAAAGCATCTGACAAAGATCAAACCAACATCCCAGAAACCTAATAAAGAACTCTTGCGAACGGTAAAGTTCTTTGGGTTTAAACCAACACTTGTCCGCACCTTAGGCAATGTTGATAGTCGTGGCAAGCGATGCAATTCTCATCAACACTTGTTAGCTATGTGGGATGACAGATAACCCATGTTTGGAGTACGTGTCTGTTCACTGAGCTGTGTGCATGCAACACCAGCTTGTTGGTGAAGTGAAAAAGAGTACCTTCCTAGGACTAAATGTTTTACAGAAACCTTCTTTACCTGAAGTTCTGATTCTAAGGAAAAAGAGAAACCAGTGTTTTTTTTTTTTCTGTATTTTGCTGTTTCTTGGTTAGGAATTTGAGCACAAAACCGAGAGAAAGAAAATCTGGTTCAAGATGAAGGTTTGTATTCTTGCTGATTCTTTGTTCAATTTGCTTCTTTAGACATGGTTAGTTCTCAAAGAAATATTGATGATTAACCGTAACTTTAATATGTTAGTGGGCTGATTTTGCCCTTGGAACTCGAAAGAGTTGAGCTGATATTTATTATTCTTTATAGCATTTTTTTTCTTTGGAAAATGGTGCGTCTTCAAGGGGAAAAATAAGAACAAGATAGCCAAATAATCAAATGAAAGACGGGATAGTCTAGTGGTATAAATCTTTCTTTTTTTTCTGAATTATAGAATAGTATCCATTTTTTGCATGGCGAAAAGAAGAAGCTAGAAAAGGAGATGTTGGTTTCTAGTTGTGTACTTGTGCAATTAACATGGACGGTAGTCTTGGCTTTTATTTTCATAAATGCGAAAATTAGCAAACACAAACGGCCAAACTTTGCCTCAGCTTTAATGCCAAACGTGTATGTAGGTTAGCGGTACTTCCAACAAGAAGGATAAGAAAATTGAAGGGAAAATGATATAATAAAGCTGACTAGGGAATGTATGTATCATCATATTTCTCACCTGCTGGGGATTCCTCAAATCAAATACTAGTACATCAGATTTTCCAAAGCAAATGTTTCCAAAGAAAAAAAGGAACTGAAAATGAACTTGTTCTTTGTACTTCGGGCGTGCATAGATAAAACTCGTTTTTACAATGAGGTCCTAGTTAATGTGGTTTGATGTGTCCATATGTAGGTTCATGAGAAAGGATCTCATGCTCATCAACCTGCTGAGGAGGATAGAATGGTAACAAGGAAACAGAAGGCAGAGAGCAAAGGGCACGAGGAAGGGCAGTCGCCCAAGAAGGCGAAATCAGAGAATGACAATGACCGGAATAATGGAAAAACAACTTCTGGGATAGCAGCAGATTTCGACAAGTTCTGTAAAGCTACGAGGGAGCATCTGTCTATCGAACAAATGCGCGGAATACTTGAAGCAAATGGCCAAGATCCTTCTGGTTTGGATGATGCTGTTGTCCCCATATGGTAAGCAAGGTTCCATTTCTAGATGAAAATAATAATATATTTTCATCATTGACATAAACTCATTATGTCAGACCTGCACTTTTTTTATGTTAGCAGTATATGACTATTAATAGCTATGCATCAAGATTATCTGGAAGCAGTTTCTTGGCCTTAATTTATACTGTCTTCTTTCTATCCCTTTTTCTGTAAGCAGCCAAGACATTCTGTTTTATGGTCCACTTGCTAACTGTCCAATATGTGGTGGCACATTGGTATGCAACGGTAAGGAATATACCTGCACGGGAGAATATAGTGAGTGGTCAAGTTGCACCTATACGACTAAGAATCCACCAAGAAGGAATGAGCCCCTGGAGATACCTGAATCTGTTGAGAAGTCTCCGGTTTCTGATGTAATCCAACACTGTTCTTTTCCTTACCTATAATACGAGTTAAAGTTGAGAAGCCATTTTCATGAATTGCCTAACATGCTACTTGGTAATTTAGTTGATAATAAAGAAACATCAAGATTCAAACAGCCGCCCCCAGAGGGAGTTGGCTTTGGCTGATAAACCATTTACAGGAATGGTGATTTCTCTGTCAGGCCGTCTAAGTCGAACGCATGTAAGTTTCTTATCTCTGTTGCTTCGACTGTCATATAGCCCTGAGGTGTTCCTGATCCAGTATTTTCATTTATAGCAACACTGGAGATCAAAGATTGAGAAGCACGGGGGGAAGGTTGCCAACCATGTTATTGGTAAGGATACAAAGCCCTTCTTTAATGCAGTTATGTCCTTATCAGCTTCAATTATTGGAAGTATGCAATTCCAGGGGTCACTTGCCTAGTTGCATCATCGGCTGAGCGAGAACGTGGTGGCTCTGGCAAATTGGCTGAGGCAATGTAAGTGGTGATTCGTATTTTAAGCAGATAAGTACAATGAGTTTCTGCATCTGTGATTTATATATTCAATTGTTTGATTTTGAAGTTTTGAAATCTTTCTCTCTCGTGTAAAACGATATTCACCAGTGAGACGGGGATACCTGTTGTTAGAGAGGAATGGTTAATTGATAGCATTGAGAAAAAAGAAGCACAACCCTTGGATGCTTATGACATTGTGAGTGATCTGGCTGTAGGCGGTAAAGGCATTCCTTTGGACAAGCAGGACCCAAGCGAAGAGGCAATCGAGACTATTGCGGCTGAGGTTCTTCTGATCTTTTATAAAGGAGATTCATACTCAAAACTTTTGATTGGTCGAGCATATTTGTAATGATATTCAATACATCCTTTGCAGCTAAATGTTTATGGAAAAAGGGGTGTCCATAAGGATACAAAGTTGCAGGATGAGGGTGGGAAGATATTCGAGAAAGATGGTATACTGTACAATTGCGCTTTTACTCTTTGCAATCAAAAACGAGGAAACAAGTATTGCTCTAACCTTTCCCAATGTTTATGGATTTATTAACCCGTCTCCAGGTTTAAACTGATCAATCTAATTAATGCATCTTCCACATTATGCAATTAATCATTGTACCTGAAAATCGATTACATATGTATCAAAAAAGGGGAAGAATTGGTGACATTGAGAGGGCAGATGATCAGCTAGACGAAAGGGAAAACATTGATAATGCAATTATGGAGTTTGTTAAGATTTTCGAGGAGGTGACTGGGAATGAGTTTGAGCCGTGGGAAAGAGAGAGGAAATTTGAGAAGAAGCCCGGCAAGTTCTATCCCCTTGACATGGTATACATCAATGCTCATCATAATCAGGCTAAGACATTTCTTATACAGAACATATGCGGTGACACTCATGTTTGCTAATGTTTCTGTTGTGCCACCACGGGAATAGGCCGATGGTGTGGAAGTTAGGCATGGGGGAATTGGCTTTAGGCAACTTGGATTAGCAGTTGTGCATAGTAAGCTTGATCCGATGGTGGCAAATTTCATGAAAATCTTGTGCAGTCAAGAGATTTATAGGTAGAGTCCTTTGTGCATAAGTTGCTGAATTTTTTTTAACTTTGAGACCAATTTAAAGTTTAATTACATGATCTCAGATATGCTTTGACGGAGATGGGACTAGATTACCCAGAATTTCCCATCGGAATGCTCTCAGATGTGCATTTGAATAGATGTAAGGCTCATTTCTGTAATTTATCATTTAAGAGCATTGGCTGTACTTACGCTAAGGAGGACTGAGTTTCTTCCCCCCCGGGCGCGGTTCTCTAATTGCAGGTAAGAGTTATCTCCTGGAATTTGTTGAAAAATTGAAATTTATGGAGGAGTCCGGACCAAAGGCTGAGGCATTTTGGACTGATTTCAGCCAAAGATGGTTTACAGTTTTTCCCTCTACAAGGCCTTTTACATTCCGTGACTTGGGTGATCTAGCAGAGCATGTGAGTCAATTTCTTCCCAGGGAACTTTCTCCGAGATATTGGCACCTTGCAATATATTTATGTTAGCTGAATCCTTGGTATGACTGCGCAGGGTGCAGCTGCGTTTGAAACTGTCAGAGACATTACAGCAGCTTCCTATGTTATAGGAGACATGTCTGATGGTATTGTTGATGATCCTCTCTTTGATCGGTATAAGAAGCTGGGATGTTCTATTTCTACTCTTGACAGAGATTCAAGTGACTACAAAATGGTAGTAAATTATCTTGAGAGGACCTATGAACCTTATAAAGTTGGAGAAATTGTAAGATCATTTACACATCACTTCTTGTAATCTTGACCGTCTGGGGACGTCAAATCACAGAACCTGCTATGAAATTTGAGTTTTCATCTCGCTAAAAATTTCATTTTTTTCAGAATTACGGCGTCTCTGTTGAGAACATCTATGAGGTTGAACCAAGTGCATGCCCCTCTCTTGAAGAAATAAAGAAGTTACCAAACAAAATGCTCCTGTGGTGTGGTAAGGCTTGATTTCATGCTTTCCTTTATTTTTTTCTCTCTTTGGTTTCACCTCTTCAAAGTTCGAACTTCACCTACAGCTCTCACACAATTTTGATATTCTATGTAAAGGTTCTCGAAGTTCAAATCTACTGAGGCACTTGCACAAAGGTTTTCTGCCTGCTGTTTGTTCACTGCCTGCTCCCGGTTATATGGTAATGAAGTCCGTTCTGATGTTGCATCCATAGAGGTCTATTCTTTTAGAAGCTCATGATTTTATTTCTATGCAGTTTGGCAGGGCCATTGTCTGCTCTGATGCTGCAGCAGAAGCAGCTAGATATGGTTTTACAGCTGTTGATAGACCAGATGGTTTCCTAGTACTGGCTGTAGCATCCTTAGGGGAGCAGATTCTTGAAACTAGTAGCCCACCTGAGGTACATGAAATTGTTTCTTAAACCCGTTTCATAGAAGTACATGCTTACCTGTAGGTGATTTTCAACTCGTCTCTCCTGTCCATGAGCAGGATACAGAGTCCCTGGAAGAGAAGAAGAAGGGGGTGAAAGGTCTGGGTCGAAAGAAAACCTATGAATCAGAACACTTTGTGTGGAAGGATGACATCAAGGTGCCTTGTGGCCGCCTAATTCCCTCGGAGCACAAAGACAGTCTTCTTGAGTACAATGAGTATGCTGTCTATGATCCACAGCAGGTAAAAAATTTTCATATGGCCTGGCTAAAACTTTCTATGGAGTTGGATAGGTAGGAGAAGAATATGTAGCTGAATTCTGTTTTCTGGGCTTTCTTTTTCCTTTTGTCAGGTAAGCATAAGGTTCTTGGTGGGAGTTAAGTATGAAGAACAGGATGTGGAGTACGACGTACAGGAGTAGAGAGATGAAGCAGAGCAACTTTTTTTGGGAGAGACTTTTGAAAATAACAGGGCAGGGAAGGTATGTAGATAAATCGCTTCACCTTTCTCGTTTTAGAAACTAGAAAGGGAGTGCTGGAAAGGTTGGTACTTACATGGGTGGTTGGAGTTCTAAAACTTAAACAAGAAATGTTGCTGATGATTTATTTTGCTTGCTGTAATTATCTCAAACATCTAAAAGTGTAGTTGTAGGTGATACAATCTCTCTATTTTGTAATGTTAAACCGGTGGCTTGTTTATGTGTTTTTTAAATGAACTGGTCTGAAAGGAACACTAAGATCCACGATCAGTTTACGAATTACTGGAGCTTTTTTAATGAAAATGAACTAAAATTGTCTTTGTATCCAGTGTTGTATCCGGAGCAGGACACCGCACAAGACAATATGGACTACAAGACAATATGGACTAGGGACGTTTGTCTTGGGGCTTGTTTTGAACACACGATAACCAACTTTGTTGTCCTGGTCTGGAATGGAAAGATATTGCTGATTACAGGGTTCACAGCCATATTGCACAATACCATTTGGATTGTTTCTTCTGTACTACCTAATGGTGCCTAATCTGTTCTTTCTGTGATGTTTATGTGGGACTTTAAAGAGCCACCGGAATCTAAATAATAAATACTCATTCAAGTCGCACAGATAACTTCGTCTCAAATCAGGCTGTAAGCTGAAATAGAAGCGCCTCTAGAGGAAATATATAAGAACAACTGAGCCTGTGGAGGCACTTTGTTCATCACAACAGTGAGTGTGTGCTTGCTTTAGCAGAAAATATTGCCACAAACATAATCTCTTGTTGGAGGGATGGAAACTAATGAGTACATTCTTCAAGACATTAAAGCAACTTGCCTGCTCATGCCACTATGCATGCTTAAGCAGGAGAAACAACTGATGTATCATTCTCTGTAAAATCCTACTTCTCATTTCACTCTATAATCTAGGATCCCAAATATGAAACTATATGTTTTTTAGCAATGTTTTGCACATTTTACAGGGATTGCTTAAGCAAGTACCTGCGACTGTGTTTTCCACTGTCCTAGGCACACTTCAACTAAGAAAGCGTAATGCAAAAGCAGTTGACTCTAAAGAGACGAATCATGTTAAGAAAATAGTTCCAAGATGGTATGCCAAATATAAATTGTTGCATCTAGCTTGTTGTGATATGATTGAGCCGTTGGAAGACAAAATTCTAATGATCTAAGCTACTGGAGAAATAACCAAAAAGGAAAAATGGTAAAGGCTCTGTCTCTTGGGGTATGATAATATAGACACTTCCTGAAACTTTGAATCTTTGCCAACATGCAGCATGATTGGCAAAGTAGACAGTGAAGTCATTTTTTACTGGTATATATATGTGTTCTGATTACATGAAAATCCTGCTAAGATAGCATTATCAAGCTGATATTCACAAGTCAGACACCAAAATTCAACAAAAGAGTATCTCCAAGGAAAGCGCTAAGAAATCCTACAAACTGAACTTTGGACGATGACACTAAATATGGGAACATCTCCAGAGGCCGGATAGTTGGAAAATATTTTTCATTGTCAACCATACAGCTATAGAAGCCAGATAGATAGAAAATATTTGTCAACATCTCCAGAAGCTGGATAGTTGGAAAATATTTTGATCAGCTGTACAGCTTTTGTTTTGTAATTAAAAGATCTTTTACAATTGATTTACAAAAGCATATAGAAGGAACTGATATGTGCGAACAGAAAGCCAATAGATCGTCTCATATCTATCATCATCATCCAGGAAAAAAGAAATCAACTCCCAACTGATGCAGATAATTCAGTCCAAAGGCCATCTATAAATATATTGGTGGTGTCATAATCTACATAATGTTTGATTGGGAAGATGGTATCATTCTTTCTAGGTACCATTAGTTCTACCTCAAGACAATAACTGGATAAGCCAAAAACTTAGAGTGCAACAAATGCTGAGTAAAGTCAAAAGTATAAGAATTTGCATTTCATTCAATTTTACTGTTACAATTCACCCAAAATTTCTTGGGCTGATGCTTTGCCTGATTTTCAAAATACAATTGTGCTATTCTACTCTCCTATCATGTGGAAGGCTGCCAAAGAACAGGTAAACGTAATCTCAACAAAACGTCTGCCAGTTTACAGAGCTAGATGTATCAAGACAATGTCATTGATATATAGTAACAGAAGGGAACCGAAACTTGTCTGAGATGAATGGTATTACCTTTGGTCTCGCCACCAAATCTCCGTAGAAGTCATACTCTGCCTCATAATCGTGTAAACCCAACTCAGCTTTCTGATTAGTATGGTAATGGTGCTTAGTAGCGGCTGATTTTCCAAAGCCAAAGATGCTGACCTTGTCACAAACCCCCGCAGCAAGCATTACAGCTTGCATGCCTGAAGAGTAATGGAAATTAGCCCCATCATGAACAGCGCTCCAGGCCTCAACATCCTTCCCTGTTATCTCAAGAAACCGTTTCAGCGAGTAGTACTTCACAATCCTGGCACACAACACATCAAACCGTGCATCAGTAACAATCAACGGCGCTTTGTGCGAAGAATTACAAACCAAGAAATCCAAGAAATGCGCAGGCTGGCACATATACATAACTATTGGCACATCAGCCCCATAAGGATGGCAATAACAGCCTTCCCTCCGCGCACACAGGCGTAGTATGTTGCTATTCACAAAGGAAATATTAGTTGTCTTTCCTACTTTGTTTTCAAAACTCCCTATCCTTGCGTTATTCAACCTTATAACAACCTCATGACTATCAATCAACTTCCCATACGCCGTCTTCAGCAAAATCCCACTATTTCCAACAACAGCACAAGACTTGTACTTTCTTCCCAACCCTTCTGTTTTACCACCATTTTTATCCATCAAATCCTTGAGCTCATTAACCAAATCCAACATAATATCTGACTGAAACCTCCTATTTCTAGACCAATCATGCAAGTGCCTCCGAAAGCTCAACCACAATTGATTAAACTCAGGTGAACGGACCTGCACCGGTAGACCCCTAGCTGACCTAGCTCTAACATCAATCCGATATTTCCCTGATGACAGAAATGATCTATGACGACCCTGGTTCCGAAAATTCCCCTCTAACAACTCCTCAATCTCCTGCTTCAACTTAGGCTCACCAACATCAATCGCAGCATACTTCAAAAGGGTCTCATTATCTACTCGAAAATTCGCAACTTCCACGAAAGGGCTCTCATTTCTCAGCTGAATAGAGCTCTGGCGAAGGATAACCCTGAAGGAAAGCAGTCCTACGACCCCCAACAAGAAGAGTACACTGAATAAATGGTGGACAGTTCGCTTCATCGGGCTGTCTACCTTCGCAGCTCAGCTCAAAACTTGGAAAGCAAGAGATCTAATCTGACTATGACAGCCTTGAATTGCTAAAGAGAATGGCCAATAATATGCAAGAATTTGGAGAAAATAAGGATATTCCGAATCTGATTCATATTGCAAGAAGAAGGAAACAATATACTGTACTATGGACTCGTCAAAACAAGCGTCCCTTAAACATCAAGAACTGATAAAATGTGGGATCTTTCGCAAGTCTTGAGAGCCAAGAAGAAGCAGGAGCTGAGCTTTGGAGTAGATTCGTATGCAATATCTGGGTGAAGATTGAGGTGGGTTTGATACGGATCAGGGGAGTCGCGGGATTATATGGACATGGGAGGAGAGTCGAGATGGAAGTGATGAAGACTAGAAGCGGGGACGGCAGGTTTAGGGGAGACGGTCACAAAGGGAAGGTGGGTTGAGTTGGTAGTTCTGATCATTGATTTGTTTGTTGGTGATTCCATTTGGCTTGGAATGTGTGAAATGAGGGCGTTGGATGGCTCAAATTCGGTGATTGCGTGTGTCTCTGTGTGTGCAGTGTGTGTGCTTTTGTGGTTTGATTATGACTTCCTGAAATCCTAATGCTGTTTTATCCCAAAAAACTTGTTGGTAGTGTTGGGTTGGCCTTTTCTGGGAAAGGCAGTATTTGAAATAGTTGTTGAAATGATGTTTGATCTTTAAAGTGAAAATTGGAATTTGGGTTGTCATTATCATCTCTAACTGGAGTTTTGAAATGTCTATCCTATAGATTTTTATTATTTTTTTTTTTTTTGATCAACAATATGTATAGATTCAAGAAATATATTATTGGCTTTGCTAAAAGGAGAATGATACTTGCAATGTTGAAATCAATACAACAAAACTTGATGATAATTTGACAATATCAAAATTTAACTAACTGATCAATAGTGGAGCACCATATAACAACAATCATCAAATTAATAAAAAAAGTTAAATTTGTAAAGTAACAGTTATAAATTATAATCAGCGTGTAAATAACGTGTAAATAATGTGCTATTATATGCCGTTGACTGCTCATCTCTCTTTGAATCTGAATTACTCTCCGTTGTTACATCTCCCTTTCTCATCTTTTGCCTGTACATCTTCTACTTTAAACTCTTTGGATTGTTTATCCCAATTCAAATCCCATTTGACCATTTCTTGCTCATGAATGATACTTACTATAATAGAATTGCCTGTCCTGTCCACAAAACCATTTTATGTTCACCGAAAGCAACCTCTGTGCATGGAATCATATTAGTTTGGGTAGCAACTAGCAAATGACTAGACAGTGGCCATGTTTTAATTAAATGTTTGTTAGTCCCCAGATTTGGTTGAGGCCATCTTCATTGCTAAGCATTTGCTTGGCTGATTCACAGTGGAGCACCTGCACAAGATACTAATAAAACAAATGTCCTAGTCTTATTATAGAAATCTTGGATGCCGATTGCCATCAACTTTTTAATTATTTTTTGTTCTCCCTCTTTTTGGGGAAGGTGGGTATTGGGGTGTAGTAGTTGTTTGTGGAAAGTAAAAGAAATATTTGCAAAATTATGCCTCATGAGTCCTGACACTACACTACATATCCACTTAAACTTTTTAATTAATATAAAAGCTAAAATTAACTAGATATGATTATAAAACGATGTTTTTTTTTTTGAACTACTTGAATGTCCCTCTCAGATCCAACCAACATTTTTTGTTTTCCTTGAACTATTCATCTAGTTCTACCTTTGGAAACAACAGCCCATTCGGTCTATTGAGAGATCTTGATATCAGAATACTATACAATCCCTCGTTCTCGAAATGAAGCATAAGTTCGGAGAATGATTGGATTGGATGGTAAGAAGGAATCGACTATAAGTCAGAGGGAAAAAAATGCTCAAGTTCAAAGAATAAAACTCTTTGTAATTTACTACCCTAAGTAGTTATCTTATGTATGTGGCATGCATTACTTCAATACAAAGTCTTATAGCTGTTACATGCACCATTCCATGATCAACTAACTATTTGAATCCAACAACAGATATTCTTGCCCCGGATGAGTTCCATGCAGCGTTGAAAATCCATTTGAATATTCCATGTACAAATTTTTCTAGTAAAAAACCACATTAAATAAAAGTTGACCAAATCAATTAGCAGGAAAATCATCCCTTTCGATCACAGACAAATACATCAACCCTTGACCTACTCTAGTCACAAAGCTCCCTGCGTGCACGCAAGAATAGTAATAGTGTATTTAGTTGGGATTCCAACATTGATTCCACGAGCAGAATGGTAAAAATAGACACCAAATTTGCAGAATGGACATAACTGCATCTTTCCAGATCGGAAGCAGAATACTATAAAAAGAAATTGACGTAACGAATGATGTAATTAGATTGGATTAGTAGGAAATTGTGCAGGTTCATGTAAGCGTACGTGATTATATTCATATGGTATTGATTGCAGCCACAAGTAACAGAATAAGCACAGTACTATTAATTATTACTCCCTCCGTCCTAAAATTTCTGTCCTACTTTCCATTTTAAAATGTTTCAAAATACGTATTTATCATGTCTACAAAGTTAAAACTTTTATTTTTGAGTGGTAAGATCGAAAATTAAAATTTAACCGTCACAATCAAAGCACTAGTGATAAGAAATTGGATTTTCAACGTGTGACTGAAATTTTGGAATGGAGGGGGGAGTAGCATTGGTTAATCGAAAAGGGGATAAAGGTGAGCAGAAACCTCGTGTAATTAATGTTTGTTGACTACTAAAACAAGAATGTTCATTAGTTTCTTGGTACCAATTAGAAACACTTGATGGTGAAGGTTTTACGAAAGCTTTGATTAATTGACAAGATCAGCACTGGTGCTAAAAGATCCACATAGGATCCACTTTCTTTAGTTGCTGCAAGATACCCAAAAAGAAGCTTCTCATTGCAAAAGTAGGATCAGCCACTAATTTGTTCCCCTTCTTTTATTACTCTTCGCCTTTTCCGATATGACAAAAGTCAATATACTGGTTAAAACTTTAGCCTCGCAATAATCAAACAAGAACAGAATTTTAAAGGTAAAGATTGCCATAAGGGAAAAGGGCCTTTGAGGCTTGAGCTACTGCAGGAAAAGCAATTACCAGTGTATTGAAAAGGGTCCCTGTTATTAAATACTTGATGAAAGTTCAGACTACAACCTTACTTGAATGGCCAAGGTTGCCGACACTCAAGCCCAAATTGCTTGTATTGGTACTGTAAAAAAGGAAGACCATTGCAAGAAAAACCATAGATCTAAATTGTTTGTATCTGTGTATGTTTGATGATGTAATATCTGTCATTAGTGCAGATTTTAATGAAATTATGATATTTTATCCAAAAAAAAAGTAACACCACAAATTCCTCACACGCTTAAATGGCAAAACCACCATCTTCCCAAAATCGATCTGGTTGGAAAAGTCAAAGATTGTAATGCACAAGATCACAATCCTCAAGTCTGCAACTCTACTCTTTCTTTTTCATTTCTTTCATTTGTAGCAAACCATGGTACCAAAAACCCTTTCACTTTCCAATACCATTCATTCCTGAACCAGAAATAAAGCTGTTAATCGAACCGGACAGCTCGCGAGCCGAGCTCGACCCGGCTCGATAAGGGCTCGACTCGACTTGTTTACAGAGAGAAACGAGCCGAGCTCGAGTTCTAATCAATACTCGTCTAAAACACGAGCCGAGCAAGGCTCGGCTCGTAGAAGCTCGTTAGGCTCGAAAGATAGGGACATTTTCGTCATTTCAATGTGTATGTGGTATTCTAACTACGTCATCTCCCGTGTAGCCCTAATTCTTCCTTTCCTCTTTTGGTCCTTCATTTTCCCGTCCCATAGCCGTCACCCCGCAGCCGCACCCCAATCCCCGCACCTCCATTCTCACGCCGCACCCCGCAGCCGCCATTCTCACTGCCAGGCGCCATCCGCAGCCGGAGCCGCAGCCGCAGCAGCAACGGCCAGGCGCCTTCTCTGATTTCTGTCAACTCTTTTTCCGTTCCACAGCCGCAGCCGCAGCCGCAGCCACACCCACCGTCACTGACTCACCATACGGAGCACCCTCCATTCTCGCCACCGTCACTGCTCGTGAACCACCCTTTACAGAAATCCCACTCTCTCCCTGTTTGCCTCATTCTTTCAACTTTTGAGCCGATAATTTTCAAGAAAGACGCACTACTGAAGAAGCATTTGAGAGCTTTAACCCAGAAAATCTTTCAGGTTTAATTGTAAGATACAACCTCAACTTTCTTCAGGTTGCAAAGCGCCCCTTAAACTTTCATTTTTCTGTCTATCTTTTTTTTTTTTTTTAACACGATGTACTCCGAGTGCAGTTTTTGCTACTACGTTCTAATGCTTACAAAATTAACGGAATTGTGTTTTCATCTAGTTGTTAACAACAGTTTAAATTTGAAGCAATGGTTTTTCTAGAGTGAAGAGGAATATGAAAGCTGGAATTTTCAGCATATACTCACTCGATAATTCCCTCTTTTTTTTTTATATATATCTTACTAAAAAATATATGAAATTGTGGTGATAAAGGGCGCTCAAGTTCCATCCTCGAGATAAAGAAAAAGAACCAATGATTGGACTTGTAGCAGCAGAACACGGGAAACTTAGGATCACTGACTTTTTTTTTTTTTAGTAAGCTATCACTGACATTTTTCGCGAGCTCGAGCTCAAGCTTCGAGCTCGGCTCGATTTCAAACTCGAGTTCGAGCCCGAGCTCGAGTTTTTTACCACCACATCGAGTCGAGCTCGAGCACCTTGTGAAGCTCGAATTAGTAATCGAGCGAGCTCGAGCTAGCTCGATTAGGGGTTCGAGTCGAGCTCGATTGTCCTATACTCGAGCTCGACTCGGCTCGTTTAACAGCTCTAACCAGAAATACCTTCCCCAAACCTTGGCACCACAATCCTCCCCAAGTAAGAGGTAAACAAAGAAAAGCATAGCTGGTGGGGGTCAAAGAGCACTTTCCAACACGCGCTTTTGGACCTGGAAAACAATCTACTCTTAAAACTAAAGAAAAGTAGCACTCCATTCAGGGCTTCTCAAAGCGGTTCCAACTTCAAATCGATTTTCTTTTTGTCCTTATACTTGATCAAAGAAAAAAGAATTTTGATGTGTTTCATCAGATTGTATTTTGCAGGGAGAAAAGGCAGCACTCTTATTAAAATTGCAGCCAACAAAGTATAAACACCCCCTCTGCCTCTTGTCTGCCTGCTCCTGCACCCCCCCTAGCCCACAGCATTAAAAGAGGGCATTAGTTGTCACTCTTTGTTATTACCAGTTTCAACTAACTCTGTACATCATCAACTGGGTTCAGCCATTCTTAATGATTACAATCCAGTGGCATTCTTACAAGATCAAAAAGGGGAAGGGAGGGGGGGGGGGAGTAGTACTTCCTGCACCTGTAATTAACATGGATTGAACTCTCTCATGGCATTTATCATTGGCAAGGATTAAAAGTCAGCATAACATTGTTTGGCGTCTCAAAGATTACATAAGAGTTTTTTGTACTGTAAGTTTCTGTGGGATCTCCACAAATAAAGAATCAACTATGAGATTAGAAATAGAGAA